CTTTTTTTAAAACTTAATCATTTAGAAAAAATTTTTTTTCTTAATGTTTATTTATTTTTGAGAGAGAAAGACACAGTGTGAACAGGGCAGGATCAGAGACACACAGAATCCGAAGCAGGCTCCAGGCTCTGAGCTGTCAGCACAGAGCCTGATGCAGGGCTCAAACCCACAACTGTGAGATCACGACCTGAGCTGAAGTTGGCCGCTTAGCCAACTGAGCAACCCAGGTGCCCCTTAATTTTTTTCATGTTGATTCATTTTTGAGTGAGAGACAGCACGAGAAGCAGAGGGGCAGAGAGAGGGAGACACAGAATCTGAAGCAGGCTCCAAGCTGAGCTGTCAGCACAGAGCCCAATGCAGGGCTCGAACTCACAGTGAGATCATGACCTGAGCTGAAGTTGGATGTTCAACCAACTGAGCCACCCAGGCGCCCCTCATTAATATTCTTTAATAGAAACCGCAGGTCTCCTCTTTCTTTGCTCCAAAGCAAATCACACAAGTCACCAGGAAGGATTTGGTCTTAATATTACACCCAAATACCCACTGTATGACTTTATGGACACTGGTCTCACCTGCAGTACTCACCTGTAGGATCTTTTGTACCCCACGGGCAACATCATAATGCTCATTTCCAACAATGTTGGGATCCATAATTCGAGAGGTGGAATCCAGAGGATCCACAGCTGGGTAGATGCCCAACTCAGCAATAGCACGGGACAACACAGTGGTAGCATCCAAATGGGCAAAGGTAGTGGCAGGGGCAGGGTCCGTCAAGTCATCGGCAGGCACATAGATAGCCTAGAGTGAGTCAAGAACCCATGAAGAGCAGCAGGAAGACAAATGATTCCATTTAAGGCACCCTCCTTTTCTGACCTCTCATCATTTCATTCCAACTTAACATTTAAGAGTTCACCTCAAAGAAGTCTTACCATCCCTAATACCTAGTGAGTGAGCTTATAGATGATCTGGTCCCTCCAAGCTGCGATGAAAAAATTTTCACTGTCATTCCTTTTGTTCTTCATCCTACATTTTAACCCTACTATAGTGATACCCACACTTTTAGTTAAAAACAAAAAAATTTGCATGATTGCAATGGTTCACTGAAAGTTACTACAATTTAGACACTTCAGATATTTTATTACTTAAACTATAGATGTCTGAAAACACACAGTGTAGCACATTAGTACACTGCATAATTAATGCCCAGTTTCCATGCATCTCAGACTCCCCAGGCTAGAAACCACTACTTTGTAATCTACATTCATATACATGCCGTCAACTACCTTAAATGAGCATTTCTTAACTTTTTGGGGTCTCTACACATAGAGTATCAGACATATTTCAGGGAGCTCATTAACCTTGTTAAAAACCTTGAGAGATCCATAACTAGGTTTTATACTTTGTGTGTGTGTATATATACATATATATATATATATATTTTTTTTTTTTTTTTTTTTTTTCCCCTAGGAGAGAGAGCGCGTGAGCAGAGGAGGGTCAGAGAGAGAGAGGGAGACAGACTCCAAAATAGGCTCCAAGCTCTGAGGTGGCAGTCAGCACAGAGCTCGACACGGGGCTCGAACCCACGAACCGCGAGATCATGACCTAAGCGAAAGTCGGACGCTTAACCGACTAAGCCACCCAGGCACCACATATATATATTTTTTTAACATTTATTTAGTTTTGAGAAACAGAGTGAGAGAGAGTGTGAGTGGAGGAGGGCCAGACAGAGAAAGAGACACAGAATCCGAAGCAGGCTCCAGGCTCTGAGCAAACATTCAGCACAGAAGAGCCTGATGCGGGACTCAAATCCACGAACCGTGAGATCATGACCTAAGGCAAAGTCAGACGCTTAACCGACTGAGCCACCCAGGCCCCCCATGTATATACTTTTATATAAATTAGACCTTCATCCATTTCACTGTTTTTTACCTGCACAGAGGTAATAGATCCCTTCTTGGTGGTGGTGATTCTTTCCTGCATGGTACCCATGTCGGTGGCCAGGGTAGGCTGATAGCCCACAGCAGAAGGGATTCTGCCCAATAAAGCAGACACCTATGGGGCGGGGCGGGGGGGGGGGAGGAGAGGAGAAAAAAGAAAATAAAGGGAATGAGAACACAGGTTTTAGGTGTCTACATCTTTAGCCTCATCATTCCATAGAAAGGTCAAATGAAACAAGTCCTCCCAAGCTTTCTCTTACCTCAGAGCCAGCCTGGGTGAAACGAAAGATGTTATCAATAAAGAGCAGTACATCTTGACCCTCTTGGTCTCTGAAGTATTCAGCAACAGTCAGTCCAGTCAGAGCTACCCGGGCGCGAGCACCAGGTGGTTCATTCATTTGACCGTACACTAGCGCTACCTGAAGTAATCACACACAATCAGAAAATATGGCAAAGGAATATGGAAGCCATACATCTAAGGTCCCCAAATCAGAGAAAGAACCAAAATAACCTTCATCAGAAAGTTTCAATATTATGATTATTGAAGCAAAATTCTTATTTTATGTTATTCTTAGGTTATTGAAGCAAAATTCCTGAAATAGGAAATAAAACTAAATGAAAGGCACAAAATAGGGCTATTTGAGATACCTGAATTAGCTCCAGCTCCCAAAATTAACCTCAAATGATGGGACTACCCTACTAAAAACAAAGTCTAGAAATGTAATGTAATGTCAAAGACGAAAAAAATGTGTTAGTGTATTAGTTGTGTATTAGTTAGTGTATTAGATGTGGGGGGAAAACACTGTCAAGAATTTCCTTTGTATGTCCTAAGACACTAAAATGAAATCATAACACATGGTTTCAGCTAGCAATGCAGTCAACTAAAATGGTTTCCTGGCACAACTATTATGCGAACATAAATCCGCCTACACCTCACCTTGGAGGTAGCATCTTTTAAGTTGATAACACCGGACTCAATCATTTCATGATATAAGTCATTGCCTTCACGGGTCCTCTCACCAACACCAGCAAATACAGAGTAACCACCATGGGCTTTGGCCACATTGTTGATTAACTCCATGATCAACACAGTCTTGCCGACGCCAGCACCACCAAAGAGCCCTGGAAGAGGTTGAAAAGAAGCAACATTTGAGTCCTGTGCTCCCAAATAAGCAAACTTCTAAAAACAAAAAATACCTATATTCTTTTCCCTTCTCAGGAATGGCATCTGGCTTCAGCAAACTCAGAAGAACGAAAGTCAGAAGCTACTCATCAGTGAGGGATAGATCTTAGTACCCACTCATTTACATGGTAAGATTTTTTTTCTTCCCACATTAGGTTTGGAAACTATGTACCACCAATAACATACCAATTTTGCCACCCTTGGCATAGGGAGCCAGCAGGTCCACAACCTTGATACCAGTAACCAGAATTTCCTGCTCAACACTCATCTCCATGAACTCAGGAGCCTCAGCATGAATAGCTGCAAATCTGTAACAGTTGGAAAAGAGGAACAGGCTCTATTCATCAGGTTGAAGGGTTCCTCTCAATTCTAACCCTTTACTCATAGTCTCACCTCTTATATAACAATTCAGACAAGTTGTCATGTGGCACCTAGCCTAACAGTCTGAAATAAAGGGGTTTCCAATACCTCACAAAGCAATAATCCCATTTCTTAACATTTTAAAAAAATTTTAATGTTTATTTTTGAGAGGGCACGTGAGCCCGTGCAAGCAGGGGAGGGGCGGAGAGAGAGGGAGACTTAGAATCTGAAGGATCCAGGCTCCGACCTGTCAGCACAGAGCCTGAAGAGGGGCTTGAACTCACAAACTGCAATTATCATGAACTGAGCTGAAGTTAGACGCTTAACAGGCTGAGGCAACCAGCACCCCAACCATTTCCTAACATTTTTCAAAAAATATTTGAGGGGCGCCTGGGTGGCTTAGTTGGTTAAGCGTCCGACTTTCGCTTAGGTCATGATCTCGCAGTTCGTGGGTTCGAGCCCTGCATCGGGCTCTGTGCTGACTGCCAGCTCAGAGCCTGGAGCCTATTTCGGAGTCTGTGTCTGTCTCTCTCTCTGACCCTCACCTGCTCACGCTTTCTCTCTCTCTCCTAGAAATAAATAAAAATATTAAAAAAATATATATTTGAGAAAGCAAGCAAGAGAGCATAAGCATGAGCACGGTAGGAGCAGAGTGAGGGAGAGAATCCCAAGCAGGCTCTACACTGTCACTGCAAAGCCTGACACAGGGCTTGATCCCATGAACTGTGAGATCATGACCTGCGCCGCGATCAGACACTGACCTACCCAGGTCTCTGCCCCCATTTCCTAACAACTTTAATTGTCATAAAGATTTTCCTTTTAATAAGCCCTAACCTAACAGCACTTGTTCATATATCATCAGGGAATAGGAAGACTTGTCACTTCTGGAAACCCCACAGCCTAAGCCATTGGTATTAAAACTCACATAAATCATCAATTTGAGTCCTAAAGGAGGAGCAAGTTTTCTAAAATCAGAACTTCTGCATCCTCAATTTTCTTCAGAAAGAAAACTACATTTGTGGTTTTAACAACAGTATCACCATTTTAAATATTCTCTGCAGGAAAAATGGCTCACTAGGTGTTGCCTTTATGTACAAAACTGCAAAAGGGGTGCCTGGCTCAGTCAGTGGAGCATGTGACTCTAGAGTTCAAGCCCCAGGTTTGGTGTAGAACTTACTTAAAACAAAACAAACAAAAACAGAAACACCTACAGAGAAAGCAATTCCTTTGCACTGTAGACACAGGAGGAAGTATACTTACTGTTTGGTTTTGATGGGACCTCTCTCATCAATAGGTTCTCCAATGACATTCATGATTCTGCCCAAGGTCTCAGGACCAACAGGAATTTTGATTGGTGCGCCAGAATCCAGGACTTTCTGACCTCTAACCAAGCCTTCTGTACCATCCATTGCAATAGTCCTCACCGTGCTCTCACCTGTTAAAGGCATTGCAGGGTTATACCCAAGGACAAGTTAGCTTCATATTTAATAAAGTCCATCTGGCCTAAGTCAACCAAGGCTCCTTCTCAGTACCTAAAATGTGGCTTCAGCATACTCAGAAGAACGAAAGTCATTTTGATAAAATCATCATAGAAGGAAGACTGGTTTGGGGGGAATATTTGAACTAAAGCTCTTTCCTACTTCTAACAAATTCTACTTACCCAAATGCTGGGCCACCTCCAAAACCAGCCTGGTCTCCCTGCCTTGCACTTCCAGGGCATTTAGGATGGGTGGTAGTCCTTCATCAAACTGGACATCCACCACGGCACCGATGACTGCCACGATGCGCCCAGTGGCAGCTCCTGCCTTCGGCGAAGGCGATGTTTGGGCGGCATAGTCTCTAGCTAACAAACAAAAAAAATGTAAAGAAAACGGGGTCAAGGCAGTTAATGGTCATTGGAAGACCCGTATTAACCCACAAGAACTGGTAAATTCGGCCCACGACCGGCCTCCTCTCGCTTGCAAAAGGAGTCCGGAGGGAAGGCCACGCAAGAACCGAGAATGCGCCTGCACAATTTTCCCATGCACAAAACCCCACGATTCGAGAGCTCCGTGCCCTCATTCACAGGAAGGTCAGGACACCTGCCCGCACTTTTCCGTCACGGATAACTCCTTTTACAAAATGACACGAATTAGGTCGAAGAAAGGTCCCATGGGCATCCTATTCTGGTTCTCCCGCCATTAGAGGGCTGGTCGCTCACCCTGACGTCCTTCTAACATCAGAAATACCTTAGGCCCGAGTGAAAATCTGCCCCTGGCTCAAGGTCATGGGGCGGCAGAAACAAACCCACCTCCTAGAGGAAGGCACTTACCAGGCTGGAACACTGCCGGGGTGGCCCGCAATAAGACCTGGACTTGGGGTAGCGGTGCTGAAGGGCCGAGTCCCCGCAAGGCCCCGGAGGCCGAGGTGGCGGCCACACGGCCCACAAGACCCAACATGGCGGAGCTCGGGTGGAGACTGAGCGCTGCAGTGGTCGGAGCCGCCAACTGCCCCGCCGTTGGGGAGAGGCCAACTCTGCAGTAAGCAAGTCCATTGGATAAATTTGCTGAATATCATTCTCAGTGCTGCTCCTATAGGTTAATAATCTCTGATCTTTTCAGCCATTGGTCAATATTGGTGCCAATCTGAAGTCCTTCTTTTTTATTGGACATTGTCAGGTTAAGGGCAACCCTCGGAGACTCGAAATGTAATTGGACAATAGGGATGTCAATTGGAGAGAGTTCTTGCCGGAACTACGTTTAAGAAAGGGGCAGAGTTCCTGTTGTGAAGCACGTGGGCTGTCTTTGCCTGTCCTTGTGCTCTCACCTTAGATAGAACTTCGAACTAGGTTGACAGTCTCAGGGGCGGGGGCTGGGGAAGTAGTAGCCTGGGGAAGCACCACTGACGGTGACCTTGGGAAAGTCAGGAGCCTTCTTTAGACTCAGAACTTGGTTTTTCTTTTGCAGTCGTGCGATTGGAAGCTTCCAGGCCGTTCAGCGTGTCAAGGATCCGGACAATCTAGTTCACTTTAAACCGTACAATGAAAGAAGCTAATGAACCAGGGCACTTAACAGATGTGTGCCAGGCATTGAGGAAACAAAAATAATTAAGACCTTTCAAAAACAGAAAACAACGCACTAAAATGTGATAGTTCCTGATTAGTACTGGGTAAAGTGGGTGCACGAAGGAGGGGATAAACTTGGGTCACCTAGAGATGTAGGGGAATTGCCTCAAAGTGGAGGAGATGGATATACCTGTTGTGAAACCGGGTAGAAATTCCTAGGGTGAAGTAGAAAGACTATTCCAAGCACACGTTTGCATGAAATCTTATGCTCCTTTTGTTTAACTGCAGGTCAGGAAGGTTAGAGGTGAAGAAAAAAAGGGAAGGGGTAGTAAAGAGATTAGCAGGAGCCAGCTCTCAGGGCTTTGGATGGAAGTGGAGACTGGCAGAGGTAGGTGTGTGGAAGTATTTCTGGAGTATGGAAAATCAGAAACAGGGCATCCTTTTCTGTATTTGGGGGCAAGGTTGGAGACCCTTAATCTGTTGGAACAAACCTGGCTATATAGAGTTCATCACGGCACTATCGAACTTCTTCCCACCAGCTCCCATTGGTTCTTGTCTTTCTGAATGATAGTGAAAAAGTTTCCTGTTTGGCAGGTAGAGCTACTAAAGAATTTAAAAGAGAAAACAGGGGGCGCCTGGGTGGCTTAGTCGGTTAAGCGTCCGACTTTCGCTTAGGTCATGATCTCGCGGTTCGTGGGTTCGAGCCCGCGTCGGGCCCTGTGCTGACTGCCAGCTCGGAGCCTGGAGCCTGTTTCAGAGTCTGTGACTCCCTCTCTCTCTGACCCTCCCCTGCTCACGCTGTCTCTCTCTCTCTCTTAGAAATAAATAAAACATTAAAAAATTAAAAAAAAAAAAGAGAGAAAACAGGAAGAGAATGTTAAATTTGGGTAATCTTGTCTGGTAAAAAAGAAAGAACCCTCTAAAACAGCAACATGTATGGAACAGGTAGAGAAAAACAGCAAAGGAAGCGGCAAAGGACCAAAACCATGTTCCGTGTTAAGAATCAGGAAAGAGAATGTTAAGGAAAAAGTGGTCAATAGCATCAATCACATAAACACCTATATAGGGATGAAATAGAACCAATTAGGCTTGAAAACTAGGGATTCATTTCCTGGTGAAGTGGGGTCAAAGATAATTTCAATGGGTTGCACCATAAGACATAATCCTCATTTTTGATTTGTGATCCATGTGCTTTCCATTAGTCTGAGCACAGCATCCCAGTTAATAGGGTCCTATGTATTTTACTATTAGAGCTTAAGTTTCTATAGCTAAGCTAGGATATTCCTTATTGTCACTGAAGCCAGACTGTCTAGGTTAAAATCTTGCTTTTGCTACTTAATAGATGTCATTAGGCAAATTAAATTCTCTGAGCATTAGTTTCCTCATCTAAAAAGCAATAATGAAATGGGAATAATCTCATAGGGCTGTTCTGAGACTTAACGATTAAAAATGAAAGCACATTTAGGACAATGCATGGCACATAATTAACACTGTATTTATGTCAGCTAGTATACTAGTATACAATATTGTATACTAGTATACAATAGCTTACTATTGACTTGTGTTAAGATCCGTTGGTCTTGTATCACCAATTTTGGCCTTGGCCAAAATTTTATTAATCATCAAACACATTTATCCTGACGCTTCACTAAACCCAGGTATCAGATTTTCATAAATCTCCAGATAACTGAAACTCATTACTTTTTCAAATGTGTCACATATTTCTTTGTCCTCAGCAGATAATCAAGTAATTTAACTTTTTCTTGGATATTTGGGTTATAACTAACGTCTTTGACTCATATTGCAATGCTAAAAACTTTCAATGTTACTAAGGTCAAGATCTAAGAGATGTTTCTCCATTTTCCTTAAGTTTGTGAACTTAAAAATATTTTTTAATGTTTATGTTTGAGAGAGAGAGAGGGAGAGAGAGGGACGGGGGGAGGAGAGAGAGAGAGAGAGAAAGAGAGAGAGAGAGAGAATGCAATGGGGGAAGGGCAGAGAGAGGGAGACAAAGGATCTGAAGCAGGCTCAAGTCTCTGACCTATCAGCACAGAACCCAGGGTGGGGCTCAAACTCATGAACCGTGAGATCATGATCTGAGCTGAAGTTGGACACTTAACAGAGACACCAGGGCCCCAAGTTTGTGAACTTTTTTAAGTTTACTTACTTTGAGAGAAAGAGCTCTTGTGCACAAGCAGGGGAGGGGCAGAGAGAGAGAGAGAGAGAGAGAGAGAGAACCCCAAGCAGGCTCTGAGATGTCAGTGCAGAGCCTGATTCAGGACTTAACCTCACGAACAATGAGATCACGACCTGAACTGAAACCAAACTGGACTCTTAACCAACTGAGCCACCCAGGCACCCCTTAAGTTTGTGAACTTATTTTTGCTACCAATGTTTGCCCTCAGCAACTTTAGGTCCTGTTCTGAAATTAGAAAAGCTGCTAAATTTGTAAATACTGTCTAAAATAAGACATATTGAGATAGGCTTTTCTGAACAAGTTGTGTCATTTAAAAAAAAATTTTCTTAAATGTTTTATTTCTGAGAGAGAGAGGCAGTGTGAGCAGGGGAGGGTCAGAGAGAGAGGGAGACAAAGAATATGAAGCAGCTCCAGGCTCTGAGCTAGCTGCCAGCACAGAGCCCAACACAGGGCTTGAACCCACAACCGTGAGATCATGACCTGAGCGTAGGTCAGACGCTTAACCAACTGGGCCACCCAGGCGTCCCCAAATTGTGTCATTTAGAAATCTGGTATGTTTTGGTCCTACTTTGTGTTTCTTGATTCCCAGAGAGCCCAAGGTAATATTTTATGTGAAATAGAAGCTACTTATGAGACAATAGGAACCACATAGTCCTAATCTGGCTTCTTACCTGAAGTTAATTCCAAATGACTGCATAATATATGACCGAAAAACTTACCAATTTTATTTGGTCATACCACACATTCTTCTAGTACCCTAGAAGAATTCTTCTAGAATGTTTTTGTCTCTACATTTTTTACTATCACTTGGGGTGATTTCAAATTCATGAAAACAATCCATTCAAATATTCTGGCTTCAGAGTTCTTTAACCTCTGAATTCTAATTAATTTCACACTTCACGTAAGCATTTTAACTCCTCAGTCATTCCCAAATTTTATCCTTAAAAGTTCTACCTCAGAGGGGCGCCTGGGGGGCTCCTTGATTAAGCGACCAACTCTTGATTTCGGCTTAGGTCATGATCTCAAGGATTGAGATTTCAAGCCCCGCAGGGAGCTCTGCACTGAGTATGGAGCCTGCTCCCAAGCAGGTTCTCTCTCTGACCCTCCCCCACTTGCACTGTCTCTGTCTTAAAAAAAAAAAATAGTTCTACCTCAGAAATTGAACATTCTCTTCAATTCAAAACCACAGTTTTGGTTTCTGGTTTTTTTCTTTACACAAGTAATACATGACCATATTCTTGATACACAGGAAATAAATCCTTTCAAGAGTACAATTACCCCCAAAATCTCACTCCCCCTTTCCTACTAAAAGTTTTGCGTGTACCCCATTTACTTTCTGTCCATTGCTTATACATA